GAGAACCTAAATAGTATGTAATTATATCTAAAACCACAATACGTTAATTGCCTGTACTCGGTGCGCCATATTGTTTGTTGTCTGTAAACCTGGTAAACCTCCATGGCTGCTTCTCAGGTCGACTATTTTCATTTCCTCGCTCCTCGGTCCTCGATCTCACCGGAAGTTGATTTGCCTGCGCCATCTTGAGTACCGTCCCATGGCTCTTATTTCTGCCGGAGGACCGAGGATCGAGGAGCGAGGAGCGATCATGGAGGAGCGATAACCGAGGAACCACCAGACCATCCTCCAATGAAATCCTCAGATACTCACCCCGCCCCTTACTGTGTATCGCTCACTGATTGGACGAGGCAGTGCATGCACTGATCTGATGCTTCTTGACATGAGAGCAGAGTGAAGAAAATACATGAACCTCACGGGAGTCACTCCTCAGTTTATACCGTGTTTTGTTTCAATTCATGTATCATTTAATTACAAATATGTGATATATCTGAACAACAAAGTGGTCAAAAATCATTTAATTCATTTTTTGGAAACATTTTCATGATCGCTTTTTTCGTTTTACATTTTCATTTATTGTCATTTCCATTCAGTCAGTCATTAAGTGCTATTAAAATGTTAATATGCTACATATCCACACAAAGTGTGCAATCCAATGAATGTTAATCTAACTGGGTTTTGATAGATAACATATATATTTTTCTTCTCTCAATTATTTTATTTCTATTGTGCACTCTAATCAATATTAATCAAACTATTGTTCGTTTATAAATGTTAAGAATGGCGTTTATCTTTTTTGACAATGAGTTCTTATTTTATTTATTGGGGTCTACAACAGATGATACAAATGTTTGTGTCAGTAAATGTGTACTAACAGAGGCGGGGGTGTGTGTGGAAATAACGGGGACAGAGCTGCTGTCAGACAAGCAGCTGTGCAGCGTCATCACAAACGGACGTCGCTTCACGTGACGCTCCGGAGGAAAGGACGTCCCATTGCTCTTAAAACTCATTTATCTGCTTCTCGTGGTTTCCTTGAGTCCCTCCATGCTTCCCTGGTGGGAGGGACTAAACGCAGGGAAACGACGCAAGTGAGGGAAGCAAGGATTTCATTTAATCGACCTGAGAAGCAGCCAGGGGCGGACTGGCCATCTGTAGAATCTGGAGAACCACAGAACGGCCGGTCGTCAAGGGCCGTTGACGGCCAGCCGGCCCTTTAAAAAAAAAATAGTTTAACGTCATAATTTAAATTGCGCTGACGGCGGCCGCTACTGCAGTTGTGTGGTTCTTATCTGTCAAATAATCACACACAAAGAAGAAGAAAGACCGGCCACACGAAGAGAAGGGATTAGACGCCACGGCAGACAGGGAGAATGAAAAAACATGGATACAAATCTAAGAAAACGAAAAGAAAAAGGTGGGGCTGAGAAGGCAAGAGAAAAAAAGGTGAAGTCACTCGCAGGTGAAGCATATACATGTCGCAAATTGACAGACCTTTTTGGCAGCAGCGCTGCTACGAGCACTATCAGCAGCAGCTTAGCAAGATGATGAAGAGAATGATGAGGGCGCGAGTTCAGATATACAGCCAGCCTCCTGCGTTCATGATGAGAGACAGAGTTGAGCTGCTGGAAGAACCAGCTCAACTGGCACACGTGCAGGGCAAGAGCAAGAGGTGGGTGAGATTGATCCCTTGAACTCAGTGGCATTTTCTCCTGGAGGCCAAGGAAGCCAGGCTTCCCCTGTTTTTTATGGATTGTAGTTAATTGTAATAAATAAATAAAAACACTTCGTTTAGTTTCGGTAATTATTCTGCCGGCCCGTCTCTCCCCCATGGAGAGGCGAAGTCACGCCCATCTACTTCCGGACCATGGGACCCCGGAAGCGAAAAATTTACATTGAATTCAATGGAGAGAGAACATGTATCTTTTGATCCCGTTTGAATTGTGCCACGAACTACACATATGATGTTTGTCAATCTTAAACAATCATTTCCATGTCAAAAAAGTCACATTTTGTCGTAAAACTGCTGAAATATAATACTATGAAAAATACGCTACTACAAAGACTACAAATCCCAAATCCCATTCTGGGTCGCGTAAGTGATGTCACAGGCATGCTCGGTGATTTATAATAATACTCGTAATTAAAGCGAAGAAGAAGAAGATCTCATAACTGATTTATTCCCTCCAATAAATGATAGATCGCTAAAAATAAATTCACTTTTACAAGATGCCTGTGTGCTTTGTACCAGGTTGTAGTCATAAAAGTGATCATACCACTTGCTCCTTCTATCGATTCCCGTCTGATGAAAGGACCAGGAGTCGCTGGATCAGACATATCAGGTAATATCATAGGTAATATACATGTTGTGCATGGAACATAGTCAAGTTAGCTACCTAGCTAGTAGCGACGAGTAGCGAGCACGTTAGTTAGCATTACATTACTTAGCCTTGTCATTTTTAGTAGCCTTACCATGAAGTTATTATTTTATTACATGAAGTAAACCAAAATGTTAAACAGTAACCAAACATGATGGTAAGTATTTCGTGAAACTTTTGAAGAGTAGCCTACTGCGCCCTCCACCGGGTGCTAAGGAAGCAGTTCAGGGAGAGTCGAAGGCAGGCAGGGAGCTTTGCATGACATTCTTCTGGACGTGTTTCATTGTGATGACAATCTGTTTGTTGGAAAGACAGTCGTTGTGTGCTTATTGAGAGAAAATTGTTAGAAGAGATCATTATTCAAAGTGTTGTTACTTTAAAGTGTTGTTACTGACCTTTTTCTCTTTTATTTTCTTTACCTCACCTGTAACTGCTGAGACGTTGAGGAACATGCACACTGACCTGCTCTGGCAACCTGATTTCCACTGTACGTAATAGTATTTGGTTATGGTATATTATTTATATACATCAAAGGCACAATGCACCCCCCAGAGACACACATGTATTGAGTGTGATATTTTGCATAGGTCATGTGAAATCATCTTTACATACTAGAAAACTGTAGGAGTGGCAACTTGTTTTGAAATTGAATTTTTAATATCCGATAATAAAGTTGATCTGTTTTCTTTATTCTTCTCTCTTCCCAGCTCCATCACCATTCTCTGTTCCTGCAGGTCCTGCTTGCTAATCAATGCTCATATTTTTTTACACAATTACAAATAAAGTCATTGTATTGTATGACATGAAGTTGTGCTTCATTCGGAGTCAATAATAAATTCATTCTGCCTTCAACTGCGCAATGATTGTGGACTGTACCGACATCCATGTAGCTGCCCCCCAGTAAGATGAACCAAGCAAAGAGGGTCACCATCATGCCCAAGGACATCCAGCTGGCCCTCCGCGGCTTAGACTGACCTGAGACCAGCACACCCAAACACAACAGCTCTTTTAAGAGCCACCTACATTTTCAAAGAGTTGCAATCCTACGTTATTATAATGATTAAACTGGTTCTTGTATCACTTAGTTTACTGAACCGTGATGAATGAAAGAAATGAGTGAGGTAGTGGTTTACTGAAGTTACAAAGACATTAATATATGAGTAACAGGTCAGTGTAAACACAAGCTTCTGTCAATTATGGATCATTCAAACTATTTATATAAAAATATGTAATAAAGTTCTAAAACAAGTATTCGGTATATTCCTTGATAGCTTTTGGAGAAGGTTGTTTTTAAGTTTACTAAAATCTATCGTTTCAACTGTTTCACTTTATAAAAAGGGAACAGGTGAGTAGAGCATCATTGAGTTTCTTATTCTGTCAGTAAATTATCCAAATGAATGTTTTTCATTATTTTAGTCAACCCTAAACAAATTGATTGTACCTTTTAATGATGACCTTACATGGTCGGCAAAGTTAAATTAACTTTATAGAATCAAATCTGTTCTGAGAAAAAACTAATAAATGTTTAAAGATAGGAACTTGCCATCCCACTGAAAAACAGTCCGTAGAGATTTAAAGGCGTAGTTGTAGTTCAGTCCAACGTTTCATTTGGATTCATTTGACAACAGTCAACTATTTTCATAAAGAATATATATATTTCTCAAAGTCAACTTTATTGTCAATCTTACTCAGTTTGAGAGATCAAAAAGACGTTTAAATAAAATTATACAATTTACAGATATGTATACAAATATATATATATCCTATATACACCATCATGTATAATGATGGTGTATGATGTAGAAGGAAGTGTGGTAGATAACAAGTAAATATAGAGTTACATACAGATCCATGTTACAGCAAAAGATGGAATAACTAAGAAGCACACAGTATAATAATAATTACATGCAACAATTAAATAACTGCTCAGCATCTCCACCACAATCCCAATCTGCTGTGTCCTGTTTTCCTCCCCTCTGCATAACACCCCATCACACATACGAAACACAACGCAGAGTCCAAGGGTGTTAAGAGTATGTTTATTGAAATGTCCTCCTCTCTACTGGCCAACACAGGGAGCATATGCTGGGTGTAGAATTGTTCCAGGAGGAGGAGATTTCCATGCCATGCAGGGTCTTTGGGGATGGGGATGATGATCGCCTCCTTCGTGGTCCACACAACAAAGTAGCAGAGACTCCGGTCTGTGATGTGCAGCTGCCCTTGGACCTGGTGCCAGTATGGGTGATTCTCCTTGAGAATATATGACCCACCCTCCTCACGGAGACAGAAGGATGGTAACTGGACTGCCTCCGCGATGGTCATGTTCCTCTGGCTGTGTGGACACTTCACCTCCAGCAGGGCAGATGGCTGCACAAGTCCATCGGGTGATGCTCCCAAAACACCCGACTCACTCACAAAGAGACCAGACTCGATTCGAACACTGTCACTTGATGCCTCCACAAAAGCCTTCACCCCTTCGGCCTCGTTTACAACCCCCCAGTTGACAGTTGGCGATGTCTCTGGCCAGTGGGTTGTATGTCTCCTCTCGCTGTTGGTAAAGTTGAGACACCGGCTGGACTACTTTGGAAGTGCCAGGCTTCCTCCACTGGCACTCAACATCTGTGGAGCTGATCTGCCACATGGCAAATATTGCCAATGCTGCAGCGTGGCTGCATTTGTACATCTCCTGTGCACAATCACAGACAGCGCTCTGCATCGCGCCATCGTCTCCCATGCAGATCTGTAAAAATAAAGTAAGTACCATTTGTTAGCATGCTATAATAGATTGAATGAGCAATAATACAAGGATGGTCCGGATCTGGGGGTGGGAGGGTTTATTTTTCCATAGTTTTGTCCTCTTGTCTTTTGTTATTGTTTGTTTTTTCTGTATTTTTTGTAATTTGTGTTGTATTGGTTGTGATTGTACATTGTATTTTTCTAAATGTGTATGAATACATTTTTTAAAAACATTTGATCAACAATAAAAAAGGATTTGGTCAGGATCTAGACTCAGTGTGTAGTTTATTAATTAATCAATGCTCTCTACATTAGGAAAACACATACCGGTGTACCAGAGGGAGTCACACACAGCTGTGCCTAGATAACCAAAATCCTTGAATCGACACACAGCAAATCAACTCAAATGACACAACGACAAAAAGGAGATCACACATACAGTATAGTCGATATAAAACTGGCCGCTTCAATCTGAAGAGCAACTAAAACAAAACACGGGAGTGTACCTTGTTCTTGTGAACACTAGCTATCCAACACTATCCACAGCATACAGAGAGACCACGAAGTTCTTAAGGAGAAAACTAGTTGTTAAAACAAAACACGTTACTGTACCTTGTTAGCTAATGTTAGCTAGCTGACATTAACGTTACACATTGCACTCATATTACTCACCGAAACCTTGTAAAGCCGGTCCCGCATGCTGGCTCTTACAGAACCGACTAACTCCCCTTTCAGATAGGTACAGCTCTCAACGTGCCCAGACTTGTAGTGATTGTCACCTCGTAAAATACTTTTATTCTCATTCTGAAAGAATGTGGTGAAATGTGCTAACGTGACGGCCATCTTTATGTTGGTGACGCGTATTGTGCGAGACGAGAGACCTGTAGTTCACTGAGCGGTTTCACACGAAAAAATGTGTAACTTCACAGTTTTACGACACATTTTTATTTTTTTGACTTGCAAAATGTTCTTTTAAATTGACAAACATCATATGTGTCATTCGTGGCACAATTCAAACGGGATCAAAAGATAACCTTTCTCTCTCCATTGACTTCAATGTATAATTTTCCGCTTCCGGGGTCCCATGGAGGCTTTCGGAAGGGGAGGGACTTCGCCTCTCTATTCTCATTGAGTATTTTACAAAGAGTGAAACAGCGCCCTTCTAGATGTTATGGTGAAACAGTAGATTGCACTCTCTGTTGCGAGAGGAGGCCAGCCAAAATTGACTTCCCTTGGTGAAAAAAATTGAGGGATTGACCAATCAGATGAGGCTCACGTCATGCCTCACAATCCAATCAAATCGCTTCAACTTCAGTTCGTACTGTATCACCGCCCTTAAAAAGTAGCACGCAACTGAAGCAAGTGCAATAGACCTATCGCTAAGCCACGCCCCCTTTGAAAACTCGGACAAACAAAGCCGACCGTGAATGACTCTTGACAATGGCCGCGGGGGGAGTTCAAGTTAAAATAACATTAAAATAGAAGCAAGAGCTAATAAAAGCAACAGCAGATGAAAGTTAACAGTTAAAAGCAAGAGTAAAAAGGTAGCCATGTATTTCTTTATATAAAATATCTAATCTTGTTGCCTGTCGTGTGTAGTGGTGACTGTTGTGTAACCATTGAAATGATAATATGATGTTGAATGTTAGCAGTGGTGGTCACTACATTAAATCTATAACTATAACTGTCCTTGTTGGTCATCATTTTCACTGTTATGCACCTGGCTGACTGTAGCGTTACCTTCTTTTGGGTGAGGGTCTGTGTCTTTTCGGAGCAGCACACACGAGAGCCCGGATGGGATCTGATATTCCAGAGTTGGCTTCCCATCTCTGAAGTGCTTTGAGGTGAAAAGACAGTTAGCAAAAGTTAGCTAAAAACACCAGCTAACTAGCGAGGACGAAAAGTCAGACAGCAAACGTTGATGTTGATAACACTGTAGCTAGTTAGCTGGCTAACAAGTTGGCAGCTAACGTTAGCTAGCTGGGCTGGATATACGCTAGCTAGTTGGCAGTCAAAGTCAATCGTTAGCAAACTAATAGTTTGGTCTACGTTTCTAATACATACCGTCAAATATGATGTCTTTATGAATTGACCTTACCTTTGAGCAAACATAAGTGTCCTTGATAACTGTCTTCACATTCAGTTGTGTATGTGGTCGACGACACAGCATAATCCACCGCTTGCATTTGTCGAGTTTTCTTTTGGGCTTCGGAAAAGGTACGAAATATACTCCTCCATCCAGTCTTTCAGGGTACCTGGTGTCCGAAATTACAGGTACCCCACGCACACCGTTTCACCATCAGATATGAGCTAGATAATAAACATAGAAACTGAACTCTTCACAGTGGTTTCGATCACAGACGTCTGGTTTTGGTTTGATGCGCCCCACAAACGGCTTTTCTGGTGATGTCCGAGTTTTCTGTCAGGAGGGATTTTCGCTGTGATATGATTGGACAAATTCTATTTGGGGCGTGGTTTAGCGATAGGTCTATTATGGAGGGTGGAGATTTGGAGTATTTCATCAAAAATAATTTTACTAAACTTCCGCTACAGCAGCAACTAAAAACGAAATCTGATGACAGGCCGATGCCCAAACTGGAGCTGTGTACAGAGAGGGGAAAAGGAGCGAATCGGACGTAAAACTTTAAATAATAAACTGCGGATTTCTAACATTTGACATTTCATGTGGCCGGACTGAGTCAGTTTCCAGGGCTGAATGTTAGTCCCAGTCCGCCCCTGGAAGCAGCCCATGTCTCCTTAAATATCCTTGCGTCAGCGTCTCACGTGTTGGGCGTGCTCTCTTCTGACCATATTTGGAAGTACAATTTTCGCGGCCGCAGCTAGACCCTTCTCAGCCATCGTAGTCTCGTGTCAGGTGGGCTAACAGTGAGTGTTTAAAATGCAGGAAATAAAAAAAAAAAGGAACTCACCTTGTAATAAACCCGCAAGAGAAAAAGTATTTGAGCGCAATACTGTTTCAGAAATAATCCTTGATGTGGTTTAGAACCATGTTTAGAACAGGATGGCGTTTTATCACAGCAGAATTGAACTTTATCTCCAGTAGAATTCTGATCAGGCATTAGCTCCGCCGCCTCCTCTTTTTTTTTTTTTTTTTTTTTTTTTAAAAAGCTAAGGACCCAAAAATAAAACAATCCGGACACAAAAAACAGATTTTCAATTTTTATTGACTTTTTGGACAATTTATTTTCCAGTGTCATCCGTAACCGTATTTGCATAATCTTTCATTCAATGCTAGTAGGATATAGACCAAGGTAGTCTGATGCAAGATGTGGAGTTAGCAGCTAGCAAGCTAAATCCACACTGCTCAGGCAACTCATAATAATAACTGAGGGGCAAATGTTCCGAGGGCTTTCAAAGGAACAACATACCTTCCAGAAGTCCATTAAAATGCATCTAGACATCATCTCTACCTGGTTTGTATCTTTCTAGTTGTAAGGCTGATAAAAAGGGCCATTGCTATTTAACAGACAGACTGCATAGCAACTGGAAGACAAAGGGACTGGACACTGACCCATTACAGAGGATGAGTAACACAGGACATCACTAAGACAGATAGTTGGCACAAGATGGTCTGCTTTTCTGCTCACAAACAGTCATAGTATTTTTTGTAGAGGGATTTACTTTTGAATGTCAAAAAAAGTTCATTCAACAGTTAGTGTGAGATTTGATACGTTGGAGCTCTAGACCTAGTGTTGTGAAAAGTTTAGTTCTGGCATGATCTCCAAGCATCTGGCAGTTTGAATGGGTGCCATTCTGCAGTGGCTGAAATCACCACCCCCCCCCCCCCCCCCCCCCCCCCCCAGTAAAGTTTACAAATGTATAAGGCTACAAGGTACGTGCCACTACTTGACCATAATCACAGAAGCACAGTTAACAAGCAAATGGAAAGATGTGACAGGACAACCACTACAGTGTGCTCGAGGGCGAACGACTGACAATTTTCACTCAGCTACATGAGTAAAGCAGGCAGGGGGTGAGTAACTGAAACAGCTGGCCCCTCCGTTGGTCAGGCATCATGTTTGAACATGTCTCCAGCAGTAATTCAAACCCTTAACCCCGCCCTGCGAAGGCAACTAAGATAAGGGCAGCTAAAAAAAAAAAAGTGATGTCTGGCCAGCGTTGAATTTGGTATAAGAGTTCAAACCACAATGTTATGTCAGCTCTAATCAACACTTTAATGTCAGACTGTGTAGACTTATCGCAACATCTGTCTCTTTTTTCTTTTAAGCATAAGACGGCATTATTTAATGCAGACACAAAGCTCACAAGTCAATTACAGTATTTGAAAGCACTTTTAGACTGATGAATCTGCGGGGACAGACAGGGATAAGTACAGAGAGAAGGATGACGTTCTCAGAAGTGAAGACTTGTAGGGTCAGCGGTCAGTCCAGGTCAAGAGGGGGACGATGAAGGAGAAGATTGTGTCCGGTTTACTTCAGCAGCATGGCTTAGAAGCGCTTGGGCCCCCAGGGGGAGGACTTGGCTGCCACCGGGGCTCCAAAGCTAGGGAAATCCTCAGAGCTGCTCATGTCAGGGGCCTGGAAGAGGAAACACCATTTAGCAACATAAAACTACCACAGTTGATTACTTTTATTCATACACATTTGTATTTGTATTACAAGTTTCAGGTCAAATTATTTGTTCCATTTTGTTGACATATTTGAATTAAATGTTGTACAGGGGGACATTTGGATATCTCTTTATATCACTCCATAAATCAAAAAAAAGAACTGTCAGCAATACAAAAACCTATTTACACTATGTTTTAGGAATAAGTAGTGATCCAGTCCATGAATGAAATATGAACTAACCCCTCTGTAACAAACATTCAGAATATTAATGGAAAACAGACTCAATTTGAAAAAAGGAACTTTAAAAAAAATATATATATAAAATATGCCAAACTCTCAAAATTAACTGCGAAGTTACCATTTCTACATTCAACCAGGTGAACTTGTGGACTCACCTTCTCGCTGCCAGTGGTCCAAGGTGCCTCGCGCACCACGAAGCCTTTGGATGGGCCACGATGTTCATCCATGGCGCCAGCAGCGCCTCCCCCAGGAGGCCTCATGTAAGCCATCTTTGTCTCATTCTCCACAGCATCTCCCATCTGGCAAAAGGTGGCAAGACAAAAAGTGTCAATGCCAGTCAGGAAACAGTAAGGACTACAGGCATTTCTTATACTGTACAAATCTACAGTTGTCATGTGCGCTAAAAAAGCTTACATATTCCTCTTCCAGATTAAGAAGGTGGTCGATTGCTTCATCCACGAGCTCAGGGCGACCTGTGACTGTAACCACGTTCGGGTCTGCAGATCCACTCTGAGGAAACCTGAGATCAACCTGAAAAACATGCACACCAAGCCACATCAAATACTGAACACCTTTTTTTAAAAGTTATATTTTGAAACTTAAGATGGATTGCACATGCACTGCAAACCTTAAAACATGTTGACATAACCCGGAAGAACTGTATGAAACCTTACATATAAATATCAGTTAAACAGGACATTACACTGCCAGCTGCCTGGTACAATGTCGGTTGGATGTCCCATCGAGCCAATGTGTGATTATTCATTTGAGAAACACATCTCGAGTTTAGCCCAGAGAGGGTGCCTGGGACAAAGCTGACCTGGTTCACGTTCATTTTGTAAAACATTTCCATGTTGCCCTCTCAGGTAAGCACCCAAGTCACCATAATCACACTGGGTCGTCATGGGTAACCATGCTTTCCACCTTTATAACCTCTAGACCAGGGATCTCCAACACGTTGATCAGCTTTTCAGTAGCTCGCCGCTTGATTATCGATTATAGCGTAGTAAGGTTGCTTCTTGATTTTTCGGCCGCGGCTGGACAATAACGTTTTTTTATTTTAGAATTGTTTCTGTCACACGAATATCAAATCGGTCCGTGACGCAGAGATCAAGGAACAGATGTGACAGCGGCACAGCGGCACCACACACGGACCAGTCTGCTTTCTCCAGCAACACCAGTCCAGAACCAACAGCAGAATGACCCGCTCTGAATCAGGCCGTGTCGCTGCAGCTCAGAGACACAGGGATTTGTGTTTTTTGAAAAACACTCGTTATCGTCAGGTTTTTGGTGGATTTAATCAAGTCTCGGATTGCAGAGTATGAATGTCCTCTTGCTATTTTCAGTTGATAAATACGTGTGTAAAGTTTGTGAAGGCAGGAGGAAAAGAGCTTCCGCGATCACCGTCTCCTGTGTTCCTCCAAACCCCGCCTACTCCCTGAAAATAATGAGTGACAGGCTGATAGTGACCCGATAGAAACTTTATTATTCACTGATTGAGATATAATGAAGCTAACTTAATCTCATACATTCATGGGATTTATGTAACAGTAAGACAGAGAATGTAAGTGTGCACCCACATGCACTATTTTTGTTTTTATATGCCGTTGTAAATACTCCTGTTGTCTGCTGTGTTCAGACTCAAGTCCTGTGTGTCCACATTCAGGACATTCAGTGTCCTTTTTAACAGAAGACCGTTGCTAGAAGCTGCAGCTAGACTGCAGAAGTATTAGTTTTTGAGGATGGAACCATTTCACACAGATATAGGGAGGCTAGAGCTATACAATTAATTTATTATGGTTTATAATTTAATGTCAAGACGAAGAAAAAGATGGCTGAACTGTTCAGTGTCAATCCCATGGAGGTGGAGGTTATACATCTTTAAAATCATGTTCAGCTTAAGTCTCAGCAAAACTCACAACATTTCTGGAGCCTTGTAGACTCAGACAACTCAAAGAACATTCACCAAGCAGCACTGAACATGTCTGCTTTATTTGGTTCTGTTCTACAGACCTTTGTGAAGCAGCTTTTTCTGACATGAATGTCATGAAATCTAAATACAGAACAAGACTGACTGATGAACATTTAAATGACTCTTAGAATGAACCTAAGTGGGTACACTCCAGCAGACCCCTCCATGGTGGACTCCATGCAGCGCCAGTCATCTCACTGACTGTAAAAAAGAGTGAATGCACTTATTTTACACATGTGCCATAAGATGCTTGTACGGTGGTGATTAAGGACATTATTATGTGAATGTTCAGTGATGTACTTATGTGGGCCATAATAATAATAATAATAATAATAATATGTGAGAAATTGTCGTTTTCTTGGACCTTGATGTGAAGTTAAGATTTTTGACAAGCTTTAGTTTCACACGTGTACAAAAGTAGCTTAATTCAACTGATGAGGGCTATGTGAATAAATGTAAGCGATGCAAGTAGCTCTTGGCCACTTTCATTTTTTCAAAGTAGCTCTCAGATGAAGAAAGGTTGGAGACCTCTGATCTAGACATCTTGGAAGAAGCCTTTTGCTTACCTTGTTCATGTTTATTGTTTAAAGTAGAATGTATAAGAGTCCCA